AGCGAAGTCTTCTGCAGAAGTTTGTCGTTGCTATGTTTGCTGAGGGGAAAACTGATCTAGAAGTACAGCTTCTTGATCGTGAACACAAGATGAGTCCACTAACGCTTGATTTTGACGACATCCTTTTGAGATTACAACACGAAAAGCAGAAACAACCAACATGTTTTGGTGTCATGGAAAACCAAGTTACAATAGACGGTAAAGCCGACGATCATGCAACTGGTGAAGAGTTGTGGAACGCTAGACAAGAAGAGATCAAAAACACTACTGAAAAAGATATGTGGGAAATGACCAACAGCGCGGGCTCTAAAACATCTTTTTGTACCGTATTTAAGCAAAGAAAAAAAAGAAAGGTGCTTTTTCCGGATGATGGTAAATTTGGTCTCTCTAACTCCGGATTTGAAGATGATGGAGATGATGATGATAAGAAGGAAAGCCTTTGCGTTACATCAGTTAGGAAGCAAAAAAAGTCTGTGACTTTCGATCCTTCTGGCCTTTTTGAAATGCTGTTAATGAACGGAACAGAACGACAGAGATTAAATCTCGATCACACGCCTGACAACAAAACGAGTCTGAATGAAAGTATTCCAAAACAACACGGCGGAAAAATCGAAAGAATAGAAGGTTCCAATACCACAGATAATTCACTAACTTCAGCGGATAACCCTGATCTTCATGGTCTCCCTATTCAATCGACAAGTTCTACATCTGAGGGAAGACGTCCAAAAGGAATCAAAAACTGGCTAAAAGATCCAAACGTGTACATGGTAAACCCTCCCGTTTCCAACTATCCTTGTTTCTTGATTTAGTTGACACTCTGTGATGTTTTTCTCCTGTTTCAATTTTCAGGTAGCCATTATCTTTACATGTACACGCCTTGCACAGGACTCTGTATACAGCTATTTACCGCTATTCCTCACAGAGAGATTATCATTCCCCAAGGTATAGTACAATCTGATGTGCTCAGTTGTTTTAAAACTCATTGATAATTATAATAATCTCATCGTGTTTTTATCCTGAATCAGGCAGCTACCGCTTATTTTCCACTCGTCCTCCTAACCAGTGGCTCTTTAGCGAGTTCAGCCTGTAAGAAACTGAAAAGGAAAATTGGAAGTAAGGTAAGATCTAGATTAACAGGTTCTTGTGGCTGGTCACTCCACGTTTGTGATAGTGGAAATGCATTGATTGCGCCAAACGTCAGCTTATTTACTTGTTGATGATGAGTGGCTGAGAGGGTCAATAAATCAACGATCATCTTAATGGCTTTATTTAACTTAACTCGACAAATGAACCATCTTTTCTCAACTTACGATAGTTAGAAGTTCGATTCCTCAAAGAATTCTCAGATCTTTTCTTTGTGTCTTGCTTGTTACAGAACCAAGAACAACTTTATTTGTTAAATTAGTCTTAGTAACTTTCATACTTTCATTGATATGCACATCTAGTGGAGCTACCTTCTGGCAAGCTTATTAGTGATGGGTGGCGCTGTTTGGAGCTATTTTCAAACCTTCTCCATCAGACAATCAACTTATGCACCAGTGGTTATGATAGGAAGTGGTCTGTCCATTATGTACGTCATGGCACTGATCTTCATCACCGAGCTGATTGGGGAAAATTAGGTTAGTATTTTGAAACAAGTTTGAATGGTTTCGAAGAAAGAGCAAGTCGCAAACTCTGATCAGTTCAGTTATAGTGCATTTCCAACCAGCCATTTTTTAATTTGAAATGACATGGAATTTCTTTTGAATGTCGCAAAACAAAATCCAAACTAACCCCAACTCTATGTCAGCTACTGAGAGTTTAAAGTAGATACAGTTAGGTCGCCTGAAGTTTGGTAAAATTTCGAGTTACATCTGATCAGTTGAGAGACTGTTTGCAAGTTTTCAAGGCTAATCACAGAGGGTAATGAAAAAGAACCGTTTCATTCGCGGACTAGTTCCGAAACTTGGCTAACCCCATGATCAGGGTGAATATTTTTCCATAGTGCTCTCTATAAATTTACCATGAAACTAACAAGGAGAATTTTTCTAACATTCAAGACCTTTATTTTGATTGGCGATCATTTACCTTTTTGTCTCTTGACGTTAATGTTTAATTCAGCATTGACACTGTCAGGAGAAGTTAAAGACCTGTTGGTCTTATTGAGTAAAGAATCAAAATATACGTAAATGTTAGTACTAATGATGGTTTCTCATCTGAGATCAATGAGTTAATACGGTGATTTCCTGTCAGGAAACCAGTGGATC